AGAATAAGTAAAAGCCAGTGTGTTGATGAAGAGAATGTGATGTGAGATCGGCCTTCAAAATTTGTATATACAATCCATTTTTAGCATTTCTAACTTAACTTAGTGCTTTAAGATACGAGTTTGAGAAACTAAGGCGACTATATTACGATGCAAGTGAACTGCGTGTGTGGCCGAACGGTTACCATGCCGGACTGCCACGCAGAGGTCCCAGGTTCGATTCGAGAAATATTTGTATGACCTATATTTATTTCTCTCGTGAGTTTGGGTGTAATTTGTGGTTGTCTATGTGTGTGTCCATGGCACCCGCGACACAGGGTTTGCCTAGTGCGGGGCTATGTTGAGTGTAGGCGTTATTAAGTGCATACTATTTAACGATTTTTTGTATCGATCGTTTTCAAGCGAATCGATTCAATAGAAAGGTAAATTGAATCGTCTAAGAAGGGACCAATAAACATTTTGCAATGAATTATCATCAAATTTGAAGAAAACTCGACTGTAGCAAATATTTAGTTGCAAAAAACTCTTTTTGCCCTCAATTTCGAGGATTAATCGCCCATTTGATAATTACATCTTAATTTTACTCAAATAGGTTTATGTTAATAAAGATAACTATCACAGACTTGAATTTTTTTTTCGAAATAACATTTGTCCGAATTTTCATTACACCGAAAACCGAGTTATAACGAAACCGTTGTTCTTTCAGGATATGTTGGATGTTTATCAAGACACGGTTAGGTTCGGTTAGGTTAATTAGGTTTAAAAGGAAAGGCATTTATATAAAGCGGTTATGAAAATTCGAGCAAAACGTTATTTCTGGAAAATGTCATTTAGGATTCAACTAAGTGGAAGGACCGCAGCGGTGGGTACTGATTAACTTATTATCTTAACTTGTAAAACTTTATTGAAGTTCTTTTGTTAGATAAGTTTACCTCAGTGAACCCAGCAAACTAGAAAAGCGCCAAACACCCAATCTACTAATTACTTATATGTTTAATTCCCAAATAAGTTTGCTGTCAGTTTTATTTCAAAATCGCAACCGACATTTTTAAAGTATTAAGAGTTTATGCAAATTCAAATGGCTTTGTTTGATTTCGCAAAACAGTGGAAGTGTTGATGCAATTTGGAAAAAATATATAGTAAAGTTAAGGATACATTGATTACTAAATAGTGTGAAAACACGAGTCTTAAAAATTTTCACGATAGAAAAAAAAAACACAAATTTACCTCGACATTTTACAAGAAAACCGTTGCATTCAGTAGGTACTTTACATATACCAAAGATTTTATATCAACTGAACTAAATAGAACATGTATAGTACATGCACCCAAGCAAAATGTTACAGTAATAGTAAAGGTCCTTGTGAAAGAGTTCGTCCAGGGAAGTACTGCCATCTTACCTATTTTTACCGCCAAGCAGAAATGTCAGCATTACTGTGTTCCGGTTTTGAAGGGTAAGGGTCCTGGTGAAATTACAGGCACATGGGACTCGTTAACGCGTGGCGGGCGCAGTGGCAGTGTCCCTCAGACCTTTGCGATTTAAAGCTCGTTCCGTCACGTGATACTATAATAATCTCAGTACAGAGTACTAAAAAAACCGACCTCAAAAATACGTGGAATTACGTCTATTTTCTAAGTTTCATTGAAATATCCCCTAGTTCGCCACTATACAGGACTTGATACTGGAGATAATAAAAATAGGTTCTCACTACGACATTACTCAAAGTATATAGAGAGAAAAACGCCTTGAATTGGAGAAATAGCAAAATCAACTAAATAATTGCTAAAAGTAATTGCTCCTAAATTAAAGTTAGGCGCTGTTTATAAAAATGAATCTGCATGCGTGAACAGCCACCCTTTGAGGTGGATGATTTTCTTCAAAATGAAATGGGACCACTATGGAAATATCCCCTTTCCAAGAAAAAAAGAATCATGAAAATCGGTTCACAAATACTGGAGTTATCGCGTAACATACATAAAAAAAAAAACAAAAAAAAGAACATAGTCGAATTGAGAACCTCCTCCTTTTTTAAAGTCGGTTAAAAAACAAGAATCGAGCTGAGATCGACTAATATTAACAGGCACAAATTCCGTGGATCTCTGCTGTCAGTAATAAAGACTAATTATTATAATATTGTTTTACAAAAATATTTAGGAACGGGAGATAAATTCCGGTGACAGATGAGGCGACTACCGGTAGAACCTCTTCTTTAACGGGTTAACGTAATCGTATCTGTTTGCGTTCGTAATCTTAAGTTCCAGCATGAACTTAATGTCTGATAATGATTATAGCATTACTAGGTAATTACTCAGCGCGATTGGTAAATGCATTTAATTGTATAGAACCTAAGTACAGTCCGTGGCTACTCTTGTGGTTTTTCATAATACAATTACATTGTGATAATTTCCTGCACGGTTGATATTTCATTAATTATACTGCCGTTTATCCCATCAAGTACGGTAAAAACGGTAATTTATTTTACATACGTACATAATTATGGTATTTCTCATTTTTGAAAACAAATGACTTTGATCATTAGTTTTCTAACATGTAGTAACTAAATATCTAAATTATGTTTTGTGGCAATGAAGTTTAGCCAAAATACTGTAATTTAAGAAAAAAATGAATTAATTTCATGTGTAATTATTTTTATCTATACACATATCATAAATCATCCATGATGTGTTCAAAAACCGCAAATTACGACCTGCATAAAGATAAACTGTTTTGTTAGAACAAATTTCTTATTTGTGAAAATGTTATTATTGCTTGATAATAACATCAATTCGATTTGATTTTTAACCGACTTCAAAAAAAAGGAAGAGGTTCTCAATTCGACTGAATGTTTTTTTTGTATGTATGTTTAGCGTTAACTCCGGTATTTGTGAACCGATTTTCATGATTCTTTCTTTGTTGGAAAGAGGGTACCTCCATAGTGGTCCCATTTAATTTTGAAGAAAATCATCGACGTCTGAGGGTGGCTGTTCACGCATGAAGATTTTCATCATTTCATCATTTTTATAAATAGCGCCTAAATTTTATTATAAGGAGCAATTACTTTAATGGTTGATTTTGCTATTCTCCAATTCAAGGCGTTTTTCTCTCTCAATATATTTTGAGTAGTGAGAATCGATTGTTATTATCTCCTGTGTCAAGTCCCTTAAGTGGCGAACTAGGGGATGAATCCGGGTTTGCGCACTTTCCGATAACCGATTTCAATAAAACTTGGTAATTGTATCGATATCAAGTAAAGTGTGAAATTTGTCAAAATTGTTTGCTATTGACATTTCATTTAGAATAAAACTTCATCTCGACTGATATTAGAATCGTTTGTGTGATAGTTGTTCTGTCTACTATTAGGATAGTTGCTATGTAAATTATCCATGTACCTATTGCATCCTTGGTGTAATAAGGCCTCATCTGCAAAATTGAAATATTTCAGGACAGCGATCTGAACATTTTCTAATCATAGTAGATAACTTTTTATGCTTAATGTGAGTTTGAATGCGATACTTTCATTATGATGTGCACTGGGTGTTTACGTGATCATAGACATAATATTGTCTGGGCCTGAATCACTTCACAAATTATGCACATTTTGATGTACACGGGGACTTAGGAAGTTAATGAAATTATATACCTATATTTTTATGGGCACACACAGCAAAACAGCTATGTATCTACAGAACGTAGCCTAAAAAAGAGTCTTTATCACACTCATTTACATAAATATTACAATCTGACATGGACTATCGCATGAGTGACTATTGCGTTGCAAATTAATGTTTTACTCGGGTTTCCTCGTTATCTCGCTACAAGGCCACAGCCATTACCGGTTCTGGATATTTGATACTTACCGCCATGCCACAGATTATAAGAAGGTTATAAACCAAGGTTAGGAATAAAATAATATACATATAAGCACTACGAGATAATTACGCATCTTGATTGTTCACATTCACGATTGTTGCACATAGGAAATGGAACTAGTTTTCGGGTTAGAAATAGTAGAGCTCCTTGTGAAGGAGTTCGTAGGGAAGTACTGCCTCCTTACCTATTTGTGCCAACAAGCAGTAACGTGAGCATTACTGCGTTCTGCTTTAGAAGGCTAAGGGTGCTGGTGAAACTACAGGCACATGGGACTTGTCAATTTATGTCTCAGGGTGACGCGCGCAGTGGCAGTGCTGTAATAATATTTGTTTGAAAACACAAATTTACGTGATTTTGATCCGAAAACCTACCCCGTTGTGACCCCGGGACCTATAACCATAGGTGGGGCTTGGTGAGGTTGTGCATAATTACGTCTACCTTGGCCAAATTATCCAACTTGGCAAGCACAACTTCGAGAAGGAAGCCGACAGGAAAATTCGTTTAGGCTGGGCGGCATTTGGGAAGCTTAGCCACATCTTCAGGTCGTCAATCCCACAAAGCCTAAAAACTAAAGCATTTAACCAGTGCGTTCTACCAGTTATGTCCTACGCAGCCGAGACGTGGACATTAACAACAGGCCTCGTCCACAAATTCAAGGTTGCTCAGCGTGTGATGGAGCGCGCTATGCTTGGGGTTTCTCTAATGGACCGAATCCCTAACGAGGTCATACGTCAGACAACTAAAGTTACCGACATAGCTCGCAAAATCAGTGCAGCTAAGTGGCAGTAGGCCGGGCATGTCTGCAGGAGGGTTGATCGCCGATGGAACAGATTTGTTCAGGACGCCCTGCGGCAAGATGAACGGACGACCTGAGAAAGGTGGCCGGCAAGGCAGCGGCTGGATGCGGGCGGTACAACACCGGGAGAGGTGGCGTGCTCAAGAGGAGGCTTATGTCTAGCAGTGGATACGTGTAAGCTGATAATGATGAGACCCGAATAACTAGTTTCATTTCCTATGATCCAATTGATCTTCCAAATTTCATTAATCATTTTCTTTTACCGCTTAAGCAAATGCATCCTAGAATAAAGGCCAGACAAGAACATTAATAAAGTAGAATTTTGCTCCGTTGCAGGCCTCCCCGCTCCCCGCGCCGCAAGGGCCCTCGGCGGCTGGGGCGCTCAGAGTTCAGTATGGACGACGACGACTACTCGCCAAGCAACTCTGTTACCTCCGTCAATTCCCTTGCCAGCCTTTTGAGAGAGAAACTTCAGGTTTGTTCACTCATTCATCTCTTTGATTTAGCAGTTATATTTAAATTTCTGATTTAATTCTCGTTTGACTTCTTAAATAAAAAAGAATCCATTTCATATTTCTTGTTATCTCCATATTATACTATACGATAGCTGGGAAAATAGTTTACGTTGTACGCCTGAGTCCATGGTTCAACTCCTACTAGAGGGTTCATTTTTCTTCATACACATTTGTAACTAAGATCATCATCATGACAAAGATATATTTCCCCTTACAGAGTATCCCCCAAAAAATTCGCAAAAAATCAACCGACTACAAGCTATGGGCGTTCGTCGGTCTCATGTTCTTAGCAGTGTGTTTATTCGTGGGCTTCGCATATGTGCTATACCACAACCAGGCGGCAACGAAGGCGTATTTCCGCAGAGTCCAATTTAACGAACCCAAAAGACTCATCAAGGTCTTTAATAGAGACGACGTCGAGATCCTTAAAGCTACTTTAGGTGAGTACGCTAAGCAATTTATTACTCTTCAGAAAATTATCATCTGCACTTCAGCCGAAAGGCGTCCATTGTTGGATACAGGCCTTCCAGAAATTGGCGTAATGGCTTAACTTGCGCTGCTCGTATCTGTTGAATTCCTACAACCTATACTAGGTCGTCTATCTATCGAGTGGCTGACCAGCCAGAAAAACCCAGAAAAAGAAGGAATTAGTAAAGAAAAAAAATATTATTATCTACAGTCAATGTCCAAAGCATCTGAGTAATAATGACATTCCTTTGTGTTAGACTATAGCTTTACCTATGAATGTTTATAGAATTTGGGTTTTAATGACAAGTAAATTTTGGTACATTTCAGCGGTGAACATAGAGGGCAAGAGCAAGTCATATCCCTGTCTTCCTCAACATCGTATGAATGACGGGTCAGAATGCCTCGAATGGATGAACACGCAGCGGTTCTATTTGAAGTGCCTCCCGCATGATCCTGGAGTCGACAATACAACATGTTACTCTATACATTGGAAAGCTTTAAGACCAGGTCAGTGTTATTGTATAAATATTATTTTAATTTAATTTTTTCAGAAACAAACACAAGAGACCTTGCGAGATGCTAAATTGATTATAATAGATATTGTTTTTTTTTCAGATGTCTATCCCACCGACTGCTTCGATTGGAGCGACACCAAAGTCCAATGGTATGGAGGTGCCCAGTCTACTAATCTCACATGGCCCTTGAATACTGGTTCGATAGACTTCACTCCTTTCATAACAGGCGATATACAGAAATCACAATTAAGCAACGTACTCAATAGATACTTAATAAATTCCAAAGGAGCAGGCATTATCATTGACGACGCAACACCTTTACACATTTCTGTCAATAAAGAAAGTAAAAAAGGAGAATACGAGAAACAAATCTGCCTGAAATCTAAATATGACGATTTTGCCTTCGCCAACAGATTTACAGAATTCGCAGAGATGAAATATAATATCTGTATTTCCAAAGATATGAGAAATTTACATTCATCGATACATAGCCATAGTAGCGCTCCTTTATGGGATGGACTAAAACCAGAAGACATGCAGACTTTGGACTCTCTCATATCAGAGCCAGTATGGCAAATTGCACCTCGATTCCGGCATGAACTTCAGGCTGAAACGATTTCAAAGTACACCGATAATGTTATTAACCTAGGATTCTTAAAACAAGGTCACGTGCTTATAAATGAATATTGGCAACATATCATTGGGGATTTAGCTGTTGACACTAGTCGATTTGCAACATTGAATGAAACTGTAGACAAATTACATAGAAGAGGTTTCAAAGTTGCTTTTACTGTTCAACCCTTTATCAGTACTGAAAGTCATAACTTTGCAGAATGTGTACAGAAAAGATTGCTTGTAACGGAACGAAGTAGTGATAGGAGAATTCCGGCGCTAACAAGGTTCAAATCCTTGCAAAGTGCTGGTGTTCTTGATATAACTAATAATAGATCTATTCCTTGGCTTCTAGATAAGTTACAAACTGTCATAGAGGAATATCACATTGATGCGTTTTACTTCGACTTAGGAACAGCATACGATATGCCACATTACTACCAATGTGAGAAGCCACTGATCAACCCTGATCATTACAAGACCATATTCACCAAGACCTTTGAAAAAACTTTAAATATTATCGGGGTATCTTCAGCAATATCTCTACCTCGACCACCCATTTTTGTATCACTGCCCCCATTTGAATCTACGTGGGAAGCGTTGAAGTTAGTAATACCCACAATGCTTACTTATGGCATAAATGGTTTTCCATTTATAATGCCCGGAGCTGTTGGTGGAGATATCTATTGGCCTGGAAGTGAACAGTTCTTGCCATCCTCAAAAGGTCAGGTGGATGCAACAAACGCTACTCAAGAAAATGGAATTGACTTACCAGATCGAGAACTCTACATGCGATGGTTGCAAATGGCAACATTCTTGCCTGTGATGAAATTCACTCATTTGCCTAGTAAATACAATGACGAGAAAGTTTTGGAAATGGCGAAAAACCTGACCCTGTTCAGGCAGAAAACGGTGACACCATTACTATTGAAATATAAACGTGAGGCTTTGGAGGAAGGCTTGCCACTCATCAGGCCTTTGTGGCTTCTAACTGGTGGGGAAGCCGCACTTTTGGTGCAAGATGAATTTGCTCTGGGAGATGAGATCGTTGTCGCCCCTGTATTAAACCCTGGAGACACCACTAGAGAAGGTAGATAGACAAATAATACATTATAAATCATACTTTTCAGTTTTACGTAAAGTTACAAAAACTCTTTGACGTTACTTTTACATTTATTGACGTTTGACTTTGTAGTCAGTGTTCTTGAAATTTATATTATATTGATTTTGGGAACAATCATCCTGCTGTATATTTATTTACTTTAAATTAGAACTAATTTTTCTTTCAGTATACCTCCCTGCTGGACTCTGGCAAGACGGCATCGATGGATCGCTGCGCAAGGGCAACCGCTGGATGCACGAATACAAAGTTCCTCTCGACCGCGTCGCTTATTTTCTTAGAAAACCTGATGACTTGAGGTTCAGATAGTTTAATGCTTAACAAATGGCTATTATATTTCAAACAAGATGTGGCAGGCGTGCTTGATAAACAATGTTCGGTATAAAATGTTACCTTGATGTACACTCGGAAGCTAATAATTTATGGATATAATTCGATGTTTTCCTTGTTTGAATTTTTTATTCTTGATAATGAAATAGGTAACTTATGAATCAAAATAATGCCCTTTAATATATGTCATTTTGTAAACAATAATGGTATTGGCTTGCGAAGAAACATATTATTACTTATTGATGGTTGTGACAATCGAAGGTGGAAACCTATTAATACCTATCAGGTATGGAATGATGAGGCTATGCGTAATTATTTATGTAAATGTGCCTACGACTACGATCTCACAATGTGTCGTGTACGAGTTTTTGAAATATTCGTTGCTGCTTTTTTGCCTAAATTCTGTCGTCGTCTATTCTTTTAACTATAAATCTAGTCTTTCTATATACCAAGCTATAAGTTAAGTTAATAACTATTAATTAATACAACGAATGCGAGAAAAAATACGACACTTATAAAACTGCATACAAAATGAACACAGCAATTTATGTAAATAGATAACAATAAAAATAAAATTGTAATTTGTGATAAAATCCATATTAAAAATATATGTATTATGTTTATTTTAGAGTGGTTACACACAGCGGCTTTCAGGGCGTAATATATACGATTGCATCGATGCAAACTCGCGACTGCATCGTGTGTGTGTGTTTGCATCGCTGCTAATAGCCGCCGTGTGTGGTTACACACCCTTTTAGACTAAAGTTTAGATCTTTGTGCCTAAGCAATTTGCAAATGTAATTTGTAATACGAATACAAATATTTATTCATATAAGTTTGAGTAGATAATAATATTGCGTAAGAATAGGTTATTAGAAAAATGTGATTGCAATGCATTCCAAAGTACATATTATATAATTTATCTGTAGTCATTTATTTAAGTAATACACTGCCTGTTTGGTTTTGTGAATAATAACAATGTGTCATAGTCCTGTAACCAACATTTTTCATGCGAATAAAACAGCATAAGTTTTCAAATTAATTGTACGAACATTATTACAAGCATTAGGTAATCTCATGGACCAATAATAATCGCGACACAAAAAGCATTGTCGGGTATTTAATACCTGTTGGTACACCAGATGTCGCGACGAGTACCAAATAGCAATTTTTGTAGCTAATTTGTTTTACAATGACAAGCTGCTATTTACTAATTTCTTGTGATAACAAACATATAAACTGGATGGCGCTTATTGCATACATTTTTATGGATACTGCCTGCTATTCTTTTATTTTGTTTAGGATTAGCGCCATGTACCCATGTCAGCATTAATCTATAAATTCGTTTGTACAACACAATACAATCTACTGATACGCATACTTGTCAAAGTTCAGAAAATAATTTTAGGTCATCAATATTTGAATAATATTATAAGGAATAAGAACAAACCGCCCATATTTCATGTTAAAGAGGGAATTCATTGATATCCACTGTCATTTACATAATGTAAACTACTCCAGGCTATCCATCAGCGCCATCTGAATATAATACGGAATTTTGACTTCTTTCAGAGTTACAATCTGTGGTATGGAGATTAGTCCGTTGAGTTCTTTATTGGTCCATAATAATATCAAATCAAGTGAAAAAAGTCTATATTATAGTGTTCAATGACGGTTTTGAAACTGGAATTGTGACATGCCAATTAGTGAAAACATAATTGTTTCGACTGAAGTACTTGAATCCAAAGCTATGAAATAAAATATAAGATGCCATGATAACCAGACTTTATTAATTTGAATTTTCTAAAACCGATTTATTCTTGTGAGAGAGTGTCTTCTTCCGGGTCCACGGATAATTTGCAAACCGACCAGAAATTTTAATCACAAGAAAGAGATTAAAATCGGATTTTGTGGATCCGTTATATTCCTGATCGGATCGGACACTGGTTTAGCGTATTCCGACTTGAACAATCAATTAAGGAAGTCATGCAAAGGACGTGAATGAAATAGAACTTGAAAAATAAACTGAATTTTTTTTTAATATTGTGGCTACAACTTCCAGTTACTGTGGTAATTTTATACATATTAAGTGACCGTGTCACTATAATGCTATTTATTATTAATTTAGAATAATATATCAATGTTTTAGGAATTACGTGACATCATAATATGGAATCGCCAAGTATTGCTTTGTGTTAAAAACAATGAAAATGCCAATAATTAATATAATATAAACATTATGAACCAAAACTTGCTTGTTTTTCATTTTTTTTGGTTTTGTAAAGTCTGCTCTACCTCTGGGTAAGCACGTCTATCGCCCATCCCAAGCAGCACATGAATACCTAAATATGTACTATAAGATATCTAATAGAATTTAATGTGATTGTACATTTTAAGAGTTCAAATTCCCTCAAGATATGTTGAAGAAGGTTTCTAGATAATTTAAAGTAAAAGTGGGCACAACTTTATTAGTAGGTCACAAGAGTGCTTTGACAAATTATCTGTGGGTAGTGATTCTTATCTTTTTTCTCAAGTAATCCTTCTAGAATGCTACAAGCCCATTTGCAGAACAGGATTTAGTATTGTAGATACTTTTTAGATAATTTATAGTCTATGACAGTTTTCTTAGTAATGCTATTTTAAAACCAAAATAACTAAAGCGTTACAAACGTAAACCGTAATTCTCTTAATACTAATAGATTTCAAGTTAAAGTTTTCAAGGCTTACAAAATATAAACTATCAAAATTGCAACATGGCGAAATTAGATATAATATTTCTGAGTTTTTCTTGCAATATTTAATCGTTTAGAAAGCGCGAATTGACGTGCGACTTTAAATACATTGTGAAAAGTAATGAAAAACCTGTCATAAAACTAATGCGCTCGCTGTATTTTAAATATTTATGTATAAATATAAACTTAATATAAATACAGTTATCGAGTTTCGGTTTTAAATATTTATACAAACTTTAAATATACAAAATAACTCACAAAACACACCATTTCCAAGAATTTCTAGGCTTCTTCAAGCTAATTTCAACTTAGATTCACTTTTTAAAAAGAAAAGAAATTTTTTTCGGCTACTTCATAGTCATTCTTTAAAAATAAAAATGGCGATAAGAATATAAAGCTTTTTCAAAACACTGTTCGAAGCGTTTTGTCTATCGCTTTATCTATAGAAAAACTATAGAATACGAAAATATTATTTTTATTTGCTTTAGTGTAGTCGATCTTGTAGAAGAATATTCATTCCTAAGACGCTTTTATGATTGTCTACAAAACGCGATGTTTCAAAGCAATTTTTTCTTTTGACAGTATTACAAAACCTTTTCATGGAGTAAAAGTCATTGCGAATGGCGAACGTATTATGCAATAAAAAACTTTTCAAAACACAAGGTCATAAAACAATTTAAAAAATCCAATTTGTCGCAAAAAGTTATTCTGTATGGAACGTGTTATATATGACAAGAAAGGTGGATAAATTCCCTATCAGATAAGGTATATTTTAATGACATATCTAACTTATGTTGGAAGAAATAAAATTTTCATTACAAAATTGAGGTTATTTCTTCACGCCAATCACAATTCACACAATGATTTCACTGTATTCTATTGATAGACGTCACAATACACATACACAACATTGGAGTACAGTAGTTTACGCGCTCATTTCAATTGTTTATATCACTTAAGAACACGGAATTACTTCACAATTATTTATTTGTCAACACACAAAAATACAGCATGCCCTTCTCGCGCGCGAATTACTTACTATTGTATCGAATGATGTGACATTATACCCAAGGTTCACTATCTTCACCAGATCTTTTAATATACTTTACTTTATCCATTTTGCATGACTCTTACAACGTCCAATAGAGTAAAAACCCTAATTATAGTATTTTTTTAAAGAAAATCTACTGAAGACGCACTATAACGTGTTTGTCAATAAGCATATACTACAGAATGTATATAAATGAAATATATCTAGAATAAACTTAAGAACACTAGTTTTTAGAGTATTAACAGACTTTACTGGATGTGTACAGAACAATTTTGCTAAAAATAATCAGTTGATCTAGAGATGAACTTAAAATACGGACTATAAGAGTAAATCTCAAGAGAGATCACACTTAATTATGTTGTTTGGTATTGAGGTTTTAAAATTTTGACTTGAGTGAAATAAGTCTATAAGACCAATTTCTTTTTTCTGAAACCATTTATAGAGAACTATTATCTAAACCTATACCATAATAAGACTGTTTATAGATATAATAGTTTTCAGGTGTATAAAGTGTGTATCTTGAGATACAATTTTCCATTCAATTAGTTACGTTTCGATATTGCGAAAAACTAAATATTTCAATTTCTATTGCAATTATGTTATCACAAAGGTATATATTATTTATATTATGAGAAGTCCACGGTTTGAATCCCTGTGACTAATTTCTTACTTACATACCTAAGTATGAAATAAAGATTTTTTTTTATTTTATAATACAAGTCATACAGGACGAACAAGTCACGCGCCTGATGGTAAGCTACATGTCTGTCCATAACAGTTGCAGTGCCACTCAGAGTTTTAAATCACAAAGATCTGATGGGCACTGCCACTGCGCCCGTCACCCTGAGATGTGCCTGTAATTTCACCAGCACCCTTACCCTTCAACACCTGAACACAGTAATGCTTACATTACTGCTTGGCGGCAGAAATAGGTAAGGTGGCAGTACTTCCCTGGACGAACTCTTACACAAGGAGCTCTACTGCTATATAAAAGTACATTCTACGAAGGGGTTTTAAGAAAATGAAACAAATGATTATGTTTTGAAATATTATTATTTTAATGACTCGTACACGTTCATCAAACACGCTGAATGGAGTATAGCGACATGACTGATACAATGAATGATCTGTTTTTTTAATTTTTTTTTACGTAATACAATAATAATTACAAATACCTAAACGTCCAATGGACTAATATCATTATTTAAATTATTAAACATTATGTAATTTAATGTCCTTTGTTAAAAATTGAGAACCATTACTTTAAACTTTTACCTAAGATTTGTTCAGTACAAACGAAATCTTAGACGACACACGCCCAGCAGTAGATGTACATCCGTCGATGATAGTGCTCTCAGCGATATTATGTCATAAAGCATTTCAACGGCTATCGATTATCCAGCTACATAAGCTCTCACGCTTAACATTTCATCCCCCAAATCCAAAACACTGATTCTCAACTTTATAACCTACAATTTAATAACAAGAAATACGTGCTTTTAGAGTTAATACAGGGTGGTCACAAAAATTCAAACATCGATCAGTCTTCGAGACCATAAAGCGTGTTACATTTCTTTGGTAAATTTTGACAACATTGATTCTCGTTACCCAATTACGGCAAAAGAAAAACAACATTACAAATGTCAAAGTTTACGAAAAAACAATATAACCTCCTAGCACATCTGTTCTTAGCACCACAAAAGCTTAATACATTCGTAATCTACCATAATTCATATTGCCTAGATTTTAGTCTACCTTATTGACTTTTATATAACTAGTCATGACG